TCCAACAGCAAAATTCAGTGGACCGAGAAGATAACCAATGCCTTCCACCACTGCAAGGAGGAATTAGCCAACGTGATGCTATTAACACACCCAAATCCAAATGTGCAACTGGCACTTTTTACTGACGCAAGCGATATAGCTATCAGCAGCTCACTAAATCAAGTTGACCCCTCGAATGACACACCAAAAATGCAGCCACTAGCTTTTTTCTCTGACAAATTAACGGAGCCGCAACAGAAATGGTTGGTTTTCAATAGAAAGCTTTATGCCATATATACATCAATAAGGCATTTCAAGCACATGACCAAAGGCAGGGAGTTTACGGTCTTCACAGACCCATTGCCCACTGACATACGCTTTTAGTCAGAAGCCTGAGAAGTGCACCCCTAGGCAGTTAAGGCACCTAGACCTTATAGAGCAATTCAGCACGGACATCTGCTACATCAAAGGCAGTGACAATACACCAGCAGATGTATTGTTGCGGATCAAAACTATTGAGGTGCCAAACGCAGTAGACTACACAAGCATCATGCAAGCCCAGAGCAGTGACCCTGAATTACAACAACTATTTTCTGCAAATATGGCCTTGCAGCTAAAAAAATGCCTTTAACAGATGCAGGCCCTAATTTATTCTGACATATCTACGAACAAAATTTGCCCATATATCTCAATTAAATTCCGCAGGAAAGTCTTTGACACCAAACACAATCTGGCTCATCCCGGGTTAAGAGCTACCACCAAATTAATAACTAATCGTTTTGTTTGGCCTTCCTTCGGAAAGAACTCTCATATATGGGCCAAAACCTGCACACCATGCCAACGAGCGAAAGTTCATAGGCATACGTGGAGCCCTGTCCAAAATCTTCAGGTCCCTGAAATCCGTTTCGAACACATGCACATGGATATTGTAGGTCCCCTTCCGCCTTCGCAAGGTAACATATATTGCCTCAAGCTCATCAACAGGTTCACCCATTGAGTGGAGGCTCTCCCGATCACTGACTGTATGGCAGAGACAGTAGCTAAGGTTTTTTGCGATCAGTGAGTGGGTCATGCGTTACAGTGTACCGAAGACAGTCACTACTGAGCAGGGTAGACAATTTGAATAGCACCTGTTCTGAGCTTTGACCAAATTATTGCGCAGCAACCATATGCACATGAGAGCCTTTCACCCAGCGGCCAACAGTCTGGTGGAGAACAGCCACTGCAGACTTAAATCAGCTCTCAAGACTTGCTTGACTGACCGCTGGACAGAGGTCTTACCGTCAGTGCTGCTAGGGATGCGAGCCAACTTTAAAAAAGACATCAAGGCAACAACCACTGAACTCATCTATGAGATGACTTTATGATTACCCAGCAAGTCCCTCGCTCCTACATGACAGACTCAAACGCAGCAGTTTTTGTCCAGCAGCTCAAAGAGCAAATGTATCAACTGACACTAACGCCAACGAGATGTCACGAGACAAAGAAAATATTCAGCCCCCAGGACCTACGGAGCTGCACCCACGTTTTCGTGTGGCACGACGCCGTATGGCCACCTCTGCAGCCGCCATATGACCTTTTCCTGTACTGCAGTGTACAGACAAATTTTTCAAAGTCCTCATATGGCAAAAAGAGACAGTTATCTCCATAGACAGACTTAAACTGGCTTACTGTCTGACAAAACACCCTTCACAAAGCAAGAGACCACCAACAAACAAAAACCAAGAGACAGACGTACACGACCCTAAACCATCGAGCACCATGCACTCGAATCAACAAGCCAAAACCAAAACCACAACGTGCTCCAGAAGACGCATGCGTTTCCTGGCACTTTTTCTCTAGCTTCACAATCATTTACACTAGGCTGCAGCAGTCAGCAACACTGCATCTGACCACCGTCCCCAACCAGCGTGATGTCAGAGGTCGAGGTTGACCACTTCTTGGATTGAGGTGTTCAGGTTCGGACATACTGTATCTCTCGTGTGCTCCGATCTTCGTCTACATGATTGGCATTGTTATAATCTTCTGTACATAGAGTTATAATTATTGGTAAATAAACTAGTGATAACAACATTTGGATCCTTCCTTCCATCCAAGAATCATAAACTCGACACCATGACAATCCTTTCTGCAGATGCGATCGGATTGACCAATCTAACTAACTTCGACCATCAAGAGGAACCATTAACGGTCCCCTCCGTACTTACAATGATCATCATTTAGAAACAATCTGCTGTATCTTAAATTATTACTACTACAAGCAAAATGAGTCATGAAATTAAATAAATATGCTAGACTAAACTTAATCTTAAGCTGTATTATTAATGATTAAAACAGAAATATCAAATTTCTTAATGCTTCATTCTATATATTTCTGCATTTACTTGTTTATATTGCACTTCAAATGCCTCTAGGTAGATTTTTCATTAACGTTTTTCTCCTTTTCAGATAACAAATGTCAACAGAAATGCATCTGATCAATGTAAATAATTAGACTATTCTCAAATTTAATTCTTTTGTGAAAGTTTGCTTTCCTGTATTTTAAAACAGAATTTTAAATGGTATTTCCATTTACTTTCCTTTTCATAATTGGTATACACAACAATTACAAAGGTTTTGTTAGATGAGTAAGTTGACGCTTAAAGAAATTAATTTATGATAAAATGCTTAAAGTGTATATATCACTTAAAGTAGATATCACTTTAAGTGATATACACACTTAGCATTTTATCATAAATTAATTTGATGATAAAGTGAAATATCACTTTAAGTGATATTTACATGCAAAACATCTGTCATATATCTCACAACAAAACTGATAATTCTTCAGCAGAAAATTCATCTTGACACTAAGTTATAATTATTTTTAAGTTCCTTTTTACAGATATTACACTTCTGAATAGGAGTTTTCAAATGTGCTGTTAGCATATTTTTGATTTTGAATGGCTCATGACAAATTCTGCATGCAAATATACACTCACTGCCAAAAGTTAAGCACAGAGCAGTAAACTGCGAAAAAAAATCAACAAATACAGCTTTGGTTGACACGAAATGCGGCAGGACAGTAGCAAATATGTTTATGCATGAAACAACACAAAGAATTACATAGAAAGATGAAAACAATACTGAATTTTCTTAAAGTATAAAATGAAATCATATTGGAATCATTAACAAAACGACATTTAAATCCAAAACAAACAAACAAAACCGACATTAATAGGGTAAATAATCACCCCTCATACTTAGACAAAGTTTACAGAGTGTAACCATGCTTTCCATGAGGTGATCAACCACTCCAGAGTCAAATAAGTGCCATTCCTCCTGTAGAGCAGTTTGCAACTCTGTGAGAGTGGCAGGGGGTGGGAAACGTGCACACACAGCATAGCCGAGGGCGTCCCAAAGATTCTCAATGGAATTGAGGTCTGGCGAGTACAGTATGCCGGCCAGCCAATCCATACACGTGATTCCCTCGCTCTCAAGGTAGTCGTCAACGAGGGCAGCTCTATGGGTTCGTGTGTTATTATCCATTAAAACAAAAGCAGGACTAACTGCTGCAGCATACAATTTCACAACGGGTTCGAGGAATTCATCTCGATACTGAACAGCCATCACAGAACCCCCTCGATAGATGTGCAGGTTGATGCAATATCCCAACAAAATGCCTGCCCACACTGTAATGCTTCCACCTCGGAATGCGTGATGCTCGATGATGTTCTGGGGCCTATTGCGTGTGCCTTTTTCTCTCCATATTCTTACACATTTGTCATCTGGCTCCAGGAAACATCGCAACTCATCCATAAACATAATGTTGCCCCAATCAGACACAGTCCAATTTATATGTTGCCAACACCACTTTAATTGTGTGTCTTTAGATTGAACGAATAGTGGAACACAAACTCGTAGTACTTGGGTATACAGTCCGTTCATGTGTAGCCTTCGGTGCACAGTAGTAGCAGATATTGTTTTACCAATGGCTGCTGCAACCATTGATGTCACATGTGTACAAATTGCTCTTCAATTCCGCTTGGCTACAACAGCAATATAGTGATCTTCTGCGCGGCTTGTAACCCTTGGGTGACCAGCCACAGTGTTTGGACAACTGTTTGGCTTGTTTAGAATTGTTTCCATAACCATGAAATGATGGAATGATGAACACCGAAGAAAAGAGCAACATCTGTGATTGAATGTCCTGCTTCAAGGCGTCCCATACACCGCCAGTGCTTACTGTCTGTCATTCGTCTTCTGGAAGTCATAGAAAGACGTCAGTCATGCACACTAATTGTACGACAGTTCTCCACACTATTTCTCGGCACTTACATGCAACTCCTCTCACACTTCAGAAGGCTGGCTTCTTATACGACTGTCTGTTTTGCATATTTTGCAATACGTAACCGTGATTGATAGTAACATAACATATTTGCATACTTCCACCTACCTCTGCAGTGAATTGCAGCCTCTCAAATGTTGATTGCTTTCCAGACATGAACATTTTCTGCTCTGTGCTTAACTTTTGAAAGTGTGTATATTTTCAGGTTAAACAAAGCTTTTAGGGAGTGCAAACTTATGGCCTGTTTTTCTTACCACTGAATAGTAATCACTGAATTACTGGTAATTTCTAAATTTTTATTCCAAATACAAAAATTAGAACCAGTGATTGTGTAGTTGCTGCCCTATTGGTGAGTCAGCAACTAAATAACCAGTGTGCAATATGCCCAACTGAGTTCCTTTCCTTCTGTTTTGAAAAGCAAGTGCAAGTTTTGTTACATGAAAAAATAAGAGCACACTGGAAATTTTTAGTTATCACAATTAACCTGTCCTACGTTGTTCCTGAAAATATTCGTGTTGACCTCATTGACGATCCTCAATATTTTCATGTTTACATTGGAACGTTTTTGATACTAGATGTCGCTATGCATCACAATTTTTATATTAAAACGAACTTTTAAAATATAACTTTTTTTGTTTGTATATTATTCAATATATTTACTTTGTTTGTTCAACGTAAAAAAATAATTTTTAACGATATAGTAAACACAATTATTATTTAAACAAAAATTTAACATCCACGAAAATTCAACATGGCGTCACAGGCAACAAATAAAAATTTCAACATCAAATAGGTTAAAAGTGGCCATTTCTAGTGGTCGCATTCAAATAAATGTTCCATTTTGTCAACCAAACTGGCTATTGCACTCTAGGCATTATAATGAAGAATCAAATTGCTAAACTGTCCAGCTAAGTGCTATAATACAATTCTTTAAAAATGTCTTTAATATATACAAAGAAATAAATATCGAAAGTATATAAAAATAAATATTTGACTTTAAAATATTATGATACATCTGAATAATTTTTACCAATTTTACCAGTAAAAAATATCTTTTCAGTATATTTACCAACCAATTTTTACCCATTTATCGGTAATGCAATCCCTAACAGCAATGTCTTATAAAATTATTTTTATACGTAAGGCTTGCTTTTCACTTCTCTCAAAAGTATTTACATTTATTACCATGTCTTGCTCTGTGATTACACAGAGAGTTGTTTGATTTAAAAGGTCTGTTACAGATTTCACAAGAATAGTCGTACTTGCTATGTTTTTCCATGTGGTTGCTTAAAGGCTGTTCTGCTTTAAAACTCGCCTTACATAGCTCACAACGATAGTCACTTTTATCGCTATGAACTGCTTTACGATATTTCCAATTGCATTTTGTTTTAAAACGCTTATTACAAATATCACATTTGAAAGGTCTGTCTTCGCTATGCATTATCAGATGATTTCTCAAATGAGATTCCTGTCTGAATTCCTTTTCACATATTTTACAAGTATAAGATGAATGTGTTTTATGGTGCATCTCTAGTCGGCTAAATGTCATAACGCGCTTACCACAAATGTCACATTGAAATGGCTTCCACTGTTCGACAGGTTCTAGAAGGTATTTTGAAGATGACTGCAACTCAAATTTTTTATTATCAATTTGGATTTGATTTTCAATTTCATGTTCTTTCCTGTGTCTTCGCAGAAGAAATTCCCAGTAAAACATTCGATTACAGGTTGTGCAGTGAAACGGTTTGTTTCCAACATGAAAGAACAGATGGGCTCGCAATACCTTGTAATTTGTGAACATCTGAGTACATAAATTACACATGAAGTCTTCTTTAGAAAGAGATGTGCACATTACCTTGAAGTATTTCTTTTTAATATTCATTTGGATTTTATCAAATTTTTTATTTGAAAAATTGTACCTCCTCCCATCGATCTTGTATTTATAACATTTTGCTGTTTTGGGATAATGCTGATTATCATATTTCTCACTCTGTTCTTTCTCCTTAACTGAAAATTTAAAAAAAACATAATAATGAAATTAATGATATTTAAATAAACACCAAATACCATACAAATATTAGAGTTTAAATAATATTACAAGGTAAGACAATGCTCCCACTTTTATCGCTTTTTTGCATTTTCAGAAAGTTTTAAGAAAATTGCAATAACAATTTGAAATTGAAAACAGAAGTGGCTAAAGAGAGTGCAGTCACAGAAAGAAAGAAAATTGATGCTTGTTGGCATGTTGGTAATTTAGCAATTTTGTAACTTGATCTAGCTATTTTAATATAGCACATCAGCTACCAGGAATAACATTTCTCTGTTAAGTACACTTCTGTATTGTGATTCATTCATTGATTATGGTATATGCTATGATAGATATCAGGGATGGAGAGTTGAGTTGGGAATCATGTATTTTTCTGCTGACTCCCCATCCCTGGTATATACAGTGGATTCTCGATCTATTCTCCTGTATCAATCATTTTCTTACATCTATTGGTTGTTTCCTCCAGTCCCAAATAAGGATCCATGTATATAATGTTATTGTCGTAAGTTCGATAAAGGAGGATAATCCTAACAAATAGATATTATAGTCAAAAAATTATTTAAAAACAATGGAGTCAGATTATTTATCCAATTCTTATTTAATTGTATTATAGAGAAACACACAAAAAATCTAATTTTTCTTTCCTTTCTGACTTACAAAGGGTAGATAAGTTCAAAATTATAAAACATTACATCAAAAATGAAATAAAAATTAAAGTTAAAAAAGGTAAAAGCAAAACCACTTTGAAGAGAAAACCACTATTTCATTGTTAAATCCCCTAAATGCATTTCATCAAAAATATTAGGCCTCCTCAGTAGGGCTTCAGCATACAGATTAAAATCTGACAATATCCCATCATAGGTTTCCATTATGAATTTTCATCTATATATCCAACAAAAGTCTCCCAGTATGCAACTGTCAACTCACCCGTATTATTGGCATAAGTTTGGCAAAATGTTCTTTAACTTTTCTTTTTACATTATTTTTCCTTATAAACAATTTTTACATGATTAATTAATGTTTTTTCACATTTATTATAAGATAGGAGAATTATTATACAGTAGAACCTCCATTATCCGGATTTTCGATTATCTGGATTGTTCAAAATAAACAAAAATTTTACGAATTTGCTGATTTGCACTTGGCGAATTACGACACTGTTTATGTACGTGATGGAATGCATAACTTTTTTTGTTTCAACAACGTCTCACCCAGCACAGTGGTCGTAAACTCTTAAATATATTTTACGTAGTAATAAAAATATAACTTGACATACGTATTTATAAATAATTTATATTCAAATTACATCATTTCTATGACCAAGGGCGGCGTAAGGCATGGACGACGTGGGCCACCGCCTATGCCTCGCGGTCCGAAGGGCCTCGCGCCTCGAAGGTTTATGCATTACTTAAAAGCCGCGAACGCGACGAAAAAATTTTACTCGTCATAAAACGATAAATAGTTTGTCAAATTTTTATTCATAAAAATGCAGTTTCAACTGCTTTTTATTTTATAAAATCCGTCTTCTTGCGCCACCAGAGGGCCTTTTAAACAATAGGTAGTCTGTTAGCGTTGGTCAGTAGTAGTCCAAATTCAATACGAACGTTTGTTTCTTGAAAATTTGATCACAATTTAAATACAGTATTTACTTTTAATATTACCGATATGTCATCGAAAAGAAAACGTGTTGTATTATCATTAAAAGACAAATTAAAGTATTTATTTCGATTATCCGGATTTTTCCTTATCTGGACTACCTTCATCCCCAATTAGTCCGGATAATCGAGGTTCTACTGTATTTTAATCTTACAGCTGCTAAATGCTCTGACAATCTGGTCTTTAATTTTCTCTGTTTCACCAATATAGAATCTTGGACATGTGCACTCTACAGACTCTAATGCACAGAGAAGCAACACATCTTAGAGACAAAAATTTATAATTTCACTAACATTTTCGACACTTGTACCATACCACCTTCAAGTGCAAAAAAAGAGTCAATACATTAAGTATTCTTACCAAAAGAAAATAGAAGAAATTTCAGTATTCTTAATACTTTTTTAAAATGTAGAATAAATGAACATCTGTGTGCATGTTCCATATTATTTAGCTTTACAGAAAATCATCATATAAGCCTATCACTGGAAAATGCACATTTCATATGAGATAAACAACAAAAACATCAAAGTCATAAATTTCCTGTGTCAATCGTTTTCCCGCATAAGTCATTTCCCCCGAGTCTAGCCAAAAACGATTGATCAACAATCCATTGTACTATGTACAGTACTAGAGTCCATGCAGTGAAAGAGTAGACATAAGTCAGCCTGAAGGTCTGTCTATGAAAAGAATGGAAGGAGACATGAATCACAGTAATAGAATTTGTAAAAATATCATAAATAATATTAATGCTTTACTTTTTTTACAAATTTTATTACTGTGATTCATTTGTCAACTCCTACGTCTCCTTCCAGAGACGTGAGAGTTGACAAATTGATATTTAACGTAGACTGTTCCAGCTCAGGTTGACAAATGTCTACTCTTTTGCTGTGTTGACTTTAGTACATGATATATACTACAATACATACTCACACTATCTGATAGATAAAAGGAGAATAAATCAAAGATGGATGACAACAAAGTGATTATTTAATGCTTGTTTTTGTCAAAATAAGAAAAAGAAAACAAAACATTTTTTTTTTGTTTTTCATCTTTATGCTTTCTTTCCATCCTTTCAATAAAAAATTTCAGGAAAATTGGAAACTTTATTAAAAACATTAAGTTTTTTCTTAAAATTTTTAAAATTTCAAATACAGTGTCTGAAAAGTTACTGTAAAATGGAAAAGGCTTAAGAAAGTTTTAATAAAAGTGAAGTTTTATCCACAGTATTGCAGTTTCGCCTACAGCAAATGCTGAAAATGTCTCCCAGAGGCATGAAAACATGTCAGAACTCTGTTCAATTGCCAACATCTTCATCACTTGACCAGTACAAACAAGCATTCTCATTCTCATTGAACTGGTGTGTAGGCATTCCAGAACAACTGTGAGCAAGCAGTGTGCAATATACTGCAACTAGTAGCCTGGGACGCCCCCTAGTGGGTGTTGTTTACAAATTTCCATGAAGCACAGTTCCTTTGACTTTTTTGTTACTATCAATATGCTCTACAGCTGTGTTAAAGTCCCAATGGTAAGATTAGGTGAAGAGGTGACGACCCCCCAAACTGTAGCCCCCTGTGCAAATAATAAAGGCAAAGGAACCATACCAATACTCATGACCCTTCATGAGATATAAGCCTCTGAAATAATAAATTCCTATTACAAATATACTGAATTATTTATATTGTTATATTGACCAAATAATAATTTATTGGCTAAATGAATAATAATAATTCATATTGTTAATTTAAATAAGAATTAAAATTGTTAATTTGAATGTTTGAAATATGACACACGATAGGGGCGCCTCTAGTATCCGTTATCAAACGGTTACAGGACGGATGGACGGGCGGACGGATACCCGTTGAATGGGTTATATATATATAGATGTGAAAATATGAGACATACAACTTAAAAGTCTTATAGACAATACTGCAAAAATAACTTTAATGTAATTAAAAATTTCTCACACAAACTTTTCAAACACTCTGTATCAAGCACAATTCACATCTCTGGCAGTTAGACTTAAACACAGATGCTGTATTTTCGCAGGTTGGCCGACATGTATGTCTATTGGGGAGACCATGAAATCAGATATTTCTGTATGGTAAAATCCGGCATGCCAGTTTATCCCAGGGAATATATTGGTTTGAGTAAGGTTATGCACCACTCTCTAGAACACACAAAAAAACTAATATGTTTTATTCTAAACTTGTACAACTGTCAACATTACATCAAAAACTACAGTTGTATGTTTAATTTCTGAATTTTGCCTTCTTTCTAATGATGTAAAATACTCATGGAATGCTGAAAGTGTATTTTTTATGTTTATTGTAATTTGATCCACAAACACAAAATACACACATCAAATTTCAGAAACTTGCTATAAATTACCAATTTACATCCACATTGTGTGAAATTTGAAAAGAAGGTGTTTTAAGGTAAAAATTTTTAAGATCAGGTAGATTGCCTGTACAGCCCTGCACTGAGTAACTACTAATAAAACAATTATAACAATCAACTGTACATCAGAGTTAAATAACACGTGCCTCAGAAAAACCTTTAACCAATGTGAAATAAAATTTAACAGTACAAACATTTTCAGACCCCTCCTGGGTCCTTCTTCAGATAAAAAAATCGTTTGAAACATTACTAAATACGAAAAAACATTCGTTTGGAACGATTTTTTAAAAATCGGAAAGATAGAATGGAATCTCATGATCAATAGCTTCGAACGTCAAAGCTTCTACGTCATATCGACAGCTATTTAAATATTTTCCCTTTTTTCAAAGATTTTATGAAGAACTTTGTTGTTAAGCATAAAAAACATATCACATAAACAAAGACTACCCCTTTACTTCCTTTCTTTTAGGTTTACAATTCACTTAATCCTCCTGCTGTATTAGGGCCTGCCATGCCAAAGAAAGAGAGATCTCATCTCTGGAATTAATGGGTGATGAAGTGCTGTATGCCCTGTATATCTCTATCTGCTCCAACCATTTGAGATGGTCTAAATAAGAGGAGGTGATAATTAACTTAGTATTTGAAAAGTCTGCTGTTATCTCTGGATCAGACAAGTACGTGGATAAGGAAGTGGAACATTTATTATGTTGAATGTCACGCATGTGTGCTTTCAACCTGATCCCAACAGCATGTTTCATTGAGCCTATGTAAATTAAGTCTTTGTCAAAACAATGGTCCCTATGTGGTACTCTATATACCCCTGGCATTCTTTCTTCCTTAGATTTGTCCTTTCCATTGCATAGAATATCAAACATAGATGGGCATCTTCTGAAGGCTAGGGAGATAC